TCCGCCACTTGCGACTTTACAGATTTAAAGATACTCGCCATCTGGCGGCAGACGCTCAAAGTAGTGTTATCAATTTGAAGCATAGTCGAAAAATTGCTCTACATTTTTTCGAAACAGTTAAACTGTCGTTTGACGTTGAGCATCTCTACCAAGAGCTATATAATTAATAAATTGCATTTGACTAAAGTACGTTCGATAATGTAAAAAATCGTTACGTTCTTCACTAATAAAATGTCAACATTAACTTTAGTACATTGTGTTGTTTATAAAGCAACGAAAATGCCCTTGCATTAACGATACGAGAAAATTTCCAAAATTCATTCTACATCTGCGATAGTGTCTCGAAGAAAAAGGCACTTGACGTGTACAAGAGCCGCGTGATCGTTAATGGATCAAAACTGTATATAAATTTTATTTGATATGTTGAATTCATGAAATAAAAAAGAATACTTCTTTAGAGGTTCTCTATTGAATTATTTATGTGATTAGAAGCAAAAGAGTAAATACAATAAAAACTGGGTTGAGGTGATGCCTTGGCCACAATTTTTACCAACTGAGCACAGAAAATGTATATTTCCATAACTTTTTTTCCTGGCTGATTTTCGAAAAACGGCTCTGAACAGCCCTGCGTATTGTAGCTGTAATTAACTGCATCAAATTTCAGTCAATTTCATCGGGTAGTTTTCCCGGAAAACAGGATCAAAATTTTTTATCCTGCAAACAGTAATCAAAAATTTCGATCCCGTTTTCCGGAAAAACTACCCGATGAAATTGACTGAAATTTGATGCAGTTAATCACAGCTACAATACGGAGGGCTCCACAGAGCCGTTTTTCGAAAATCGGTCAAGTAAAAAAGTTATTTCAATTTACATTTTTAAGGCTCGGTCGGTCAAAATTGGGGCTTCGGCATCACCTTAATGATATTTTTATTAGATTCACAACAGAGCTTTTGTCATTTTCATTACATCTTATACCATATGCATGATTTTCGCTGTCCTCGATCACAAATTTGCCGCCAAGCAGATATTGTACAGATCTACGTTCCTCAGATTCCCGAGGACCATTTCGCAGCAGAGAATCGGCAGCCTGTAGTGAATCAACCGCAGGAAAGGTTCCAATGCCCAAGACTCGAAAAATCCTCTCGACAACTTGTCGGCCAGGTGCACGGCGCAAATCTCGAGAGTCTGGTTAACCACGTCGGGTATGATTGCCGGAGGCCCTACTACGAAGGTGCCTGGAATCAGCGCTCGTACCGACGTTGCCAAATCGAAGTAGTCTTTGTACGAGAGTAGTTTGGCCGCCTCCTTGGGACTCAAGCGGGTCAGGTCGTACAGCGACAGGCTCGGATCGTTATCGTTCCTCACCTTCTCCTTCTTCGCCTCCTCGGCCCATTGCTCGTCGCTGTACCAAGATCTTTCATTATCCTCCGACGCGACGTCGAACAATCCGCACTCGTGGAAAAATCTCATGATGTTCGTGGCGTCGCCTCGGCTCAGTTCGTATCCGGCCTTCTCCAGGCGCTCGACGATGGCCAGTACGCCGCCGGCTCGGTACAAGTCTTTGCATTGGGGAAACATATTATTTTGTAGCTTCGGGGCATCATTCACGCTGGGGTAAAACTCGGTCGGGAAAACGAAGCCGTTCACGTTGGCGCCGCGATTCAGAAGAGCATCCACGTTGTCCGGCAGAAGAGTCGCCACGGCGTATCGTAGCGGTGTCCAGCCTTGATTGTCCAACGCGTCGACCTGTACCGGCCTCGTCGCCTCGTCGTCGCAGAGCTCGAAAAATTTCCGCGCGCACGTGTACTCGATAAAATCCGTCGATCTGCACAGGCAGTGCAGAGGCGTCAGTCCTTCTTCGTTGGCCAGATTCGGATCGGCACCGGCTCTCAGCAGCGCTCGGACCGTCTGCTCGCTGGGGTAGCCTTCCTGGATGCTTAGATGCAGCGGCGTGTCTCCCGTCGCCGGCACCGGCTCATTGGGATCCTGGCCGAGGTCGAGGTATTCCTGGACACGCTCGGGAGCGTACGACCACCTGCAGACCACGTGAAAGTGACTCCAGCCGTGCTCGTCGACGTAATTGCTACGGGCTGGGTACATGCAAAAGATGGAAAAATTGAGCTGCAGCGACAGACCGTGTCTGGCAGCGAAATGTACCGGTGTGATTCCGTTCAGCAGCGGCCTGCCCGTAGCCTCGTCCAAGTCGGGCTCGTCTCTGTAGCCTTCCAACCACAGAACATGGACGAATTTGGCCGATTCTTTATTCCTCCGTAGATCCTCCGCGAGAAGCCAATTGATCTCGCGGGCTCGGAAAATTTCTCGCAGATTCGGAAGTCGATGTCGTCGTCTCCAATCGTCTAACAACGGATAAAGTCGATCGAGCAGTTGGCTGCGCTGCTCTTCGATTTCCCAATTGATCCTCTCTCTTAAGCTCCTCAACTTTGCCATGTTGATTATGTCGAACTCTTCGTCGGTTACGTCAAAACGCGGATCACGATGATGGTTTGCTGCACTCATGGCTCGGATGCACTATCACTTTTAATATATAAAATGAAAATAATAATTTTCCACTTTTATCACGATTGCTGCTTCGATCTTCGCAGCCGAGTTTTGTACGCAGCAGCGTCGTCACGTACCCAGCGGTCTATATGTAGTAGAAAAGTAGCGAGTAAAAGAAAGAAACGACGTGGCCGAGTCTACAGAATTTCAAGCGAGAGCGAGCGAGACAGAGTTCTAAAGATGGCGCAACATAAAGGCCCAGGACCATCTCAAATTTGAGCGAAAACTTTGGCCACTGCCCACTAGGCACTTTAAGGCAGAGCAGGCTTGTCCTAAGCGGACATGTGTAGTAATCACCAACTCGTGCCCACTCGCGTGTTTGATTTAACCTGTCTGCTACTCTATTTCAATAACATCATAATGTTAATATTGTATACAATACAGACATACGTCTGATATACGGACGATAATACTGCGGTAACAGAAACACCTATGATTTTATCGAGATTATTAGGATTCTTAAAGTGACAAATAGACACGAACATCATGCGCGTTGCCGTGTTTTAAATTTAGATAATCATATTTAAAAAAAATTTATCACAAAAAAAAGTAATAATAAATGTTCACCTGCTATCACCATTCACTTTTTACATCAATTTTTATTGAATATATATATATTTGTCAATGTTTAATTAGCTAACTAACAAACAACGATTTGAATTGTACTTGATGAATCCACGCATTGCCCAAAAATCGTACTGTACTACTGTACTGTATACACAATGAACAACTCGATCGACTTTCTCAAAGTAATACGAGCGATATCTCGAGAAATGGAGATTCGGTTGCTTACACGCATACGCAGAGAGCTTTGCCTGTATAGCAACTGTGCGAGGCACATCGGTCGGAAACCAGAAAAAGAATAGTACTCATGTACGCGAACAAAAGCTCGCGCGTATATAGCCGAAAATCGTCGGCCGCTCGTGCACCGCTCGGACGCACACAGCAGCTTCCAGCAGTGTTATTATCAAGTCGAAAAATACGTCGATGTAGCGCGTCCACGAGCAATAACAATGGGGGGATTGTTTTCCTCGCGGCATTTCTCACAGATAGCTTGCGCTATCGTATAGAGGTCCGAGCTTGCGATTGTTGCACGAAGCTTTCACGACGGTGCGTGCGCGCGGCTGCATCATATCGTATACTCATTACTCGTGCGTGTATCGTGGCTCTCGTCTCGAAAAGCTTACATGCCTGCGCGGCAGCAGACCCTTTGGCCGTATGCGATACGTATGTGTGTATATTCGTGCTGGCATGTTTTTATATTATTGGACTATCGAGCGTGCGAAAATAGGCGTTTGTGGCTAGAACAGCATCGATGTATGCGGGTGGGACGTTGGCCAATTTAACACTATTTTGGCCGCAACCGTTTATCGCGTGTATAGCGCTAATGCGAATAAGACCGAAAAAAAACAACAACAATGACAAAAGCGATAAAGATACGCGCGCAAATTGCAATATACGATAAAAGCTGAGATCGTGAGAAAAAAAAACAATAAAACTCGGAGGGACAACTTAGGAAGGTAAAAGCATAGCTTACTTAACTAATGATTAAAAAGTTTCAGAAAGTCGACAATGTGAAAAAATGCAAAGTCTGATTTTTTGTGAAGTTCAACAAATATGAGTAAAAGTAGCGCGAGGTATGTAAAGTAGATAATTCGGTATTGTAATTATAAAGCACAAATACAGCTTGAGCTTCGCGTTACTATTTCGCTGTATTTGTAATTTTTTCTTCGTCGAATTGAACGTCGTTCGAGTATCTGTAAAAACTCACGTACTTAAATCGATCGAATCGCAATTATTTTGTTAGTACTCGAGCACCGAACCCTATTACCGGTATAACAAGATAGTAGAGATCGCGACGCCTTGGTCGATTTGGAATTTTCTAGTTCTCATTATTTTTTTCGCGCATAAACGAATCAGCAGAAGCATCGAACTTATATTTACAAAATCCTGCGGTCGATTGTCTATATATGCCCGAGAAATGTTCTCCGAGTGTATAGAAAAAAGAAATTAATCACGGCTCTGGTATATAGGTGATAGGCATTGCATACATAGGTATACGTATACGAGCAGCGAGCGAGTCTAATCTCGGAGTTGACGATACATTTATATTTCGAGCGCGTATAGGTGCGTGATAAACAACTATATACACATAATGAAGAATCATTATCGAGCCGCTGGACGTAGACGACGACGACGACGACGCCGCGGGTATGTGTATAAAATAATACACGCACGCGCTTATATAGACGCGGAAACGCGCGAGAAATGGCATCGCGCGGCAGAGATAACAGAGATATCTCGGATATCGCGAGCCGAGAGCGTTGCAAGTGGCCCGCGCGCGCGCGACACAACGTAAAGAAGAAGAAGAAAAAAAAGCGAGGAGTACAACAATTGTTATCGGCGCGCGACGCGAGTCAGTCCGCGGTATCGATTTCGCTCCGCTCTTGTTCGCAGCTCACATATATCGTGATTTATTTTCATTATACCGAGTCTCAACGATTTTATTCGTTACCGCGCTAAAACTCGTGTGTGTGTGTGTGTGTATGCTCGTGTTTTTTATTTCAACTCTATAATTATGGCTTGAGTTAATCGCCATGAAATCCTATCGTGCAAAGTGATCAGTTCCTCTACCACTATATCTTATAAGTTGGCAAGTCCTTAGAACAAGCGCATGGCTGTAGGACAATCATCGCCATCATCATGCCATGGGCCTCGGCGAGACAACGACGATTACGATCACGACACCAAGTCGGCATGCCAGGGTGCTACGACTTCGAATTCTGCCGGCAACGGTCATCATAACATCAACATCGACGCGATGGAGGCGGCCCAGATGTACGCCAGGAACAGGTCGTTCGGCTCGCGCAACGATCTCGACGACTCTATCGGGGCCTTCGAGGAGCTGCCCCGCGACAAGGCCGACTCGGCCTGGTTTCACATCGACGTAAATATATCATCGTCGTCGTCATCGTTATCGAGTAACAAATAATAGCGACGATATTAATGTAAAAACGTTATTTACCTTCGTCAGAGAGAGTACAAGAACAAGAATTTGGAGAAGCTGTTCGGCCAGTTCCAGCGTAAGCTCCAGCGCGGCAACATATCGCTCTTCGTCGTCATACAGATAATCCTGGCGATCAGCCACTGCTCCATCCTCATCGGTTGGGTGAGTGTACGACGGTCGACTCGAAAAAAAAAAACAAATTACTCGTAAATTATAATTTAAAATGATATATCCCTTACCAATTCGTTGTCGTACGTACGTATAGACGTCGGCGACGGACGCCATAATCGACGTGGTAATAATGGGCGTGCTCAACGCCGTGCTGTTCCCGATCCTGGCGCTGGTGTTTCGCGCCGGCTCCTACAAGGAAAATCCGATCCTGTCGATCTACTACTCGTGCTCCATCGTCGCCCTGCTCATCATCGGCGACGTCGTGCCGGCCATGTATCACTCCAAGAACGACGAGAAGGCCTCTTACAAGTGAATATACATCATTTAAATTTTATTTTGACTCGCTCATTGATTTCCTCTTTGCGCGCAGGCCCGTCTATCAAACTCACACTCTGATCGCCTGCTACTTCTTCCTGCCGCTGCCGCGCACCCTGAGCGCCGTCATCCTCGGCGTCATGGCGTCCACCTGCTACATCACCAGCTCGCTCTTCATCACCTATCGCAACGACTTCTTTTACGAGCAGAAGATCCTCACCGATCTCAACTATCACGTCTGCATCAACATGCTCGGCTGCTACTTTCGCTTCATGAATCAGATGATGATCAAGAGGTCCTTCCTGGATCGCAACAAGTGCGTCCTGTCGACTCTCAGGCTGAATTACGAGAAGGACCAGGAGGAGCAGCTGACCAGGAGCATCTTGCCGCGGCACTTCGCCCATCAGATCACCAACTGTTTCGTCGAGAAGAGCGTGCCGCAGATGGAGGAGACGAGGCCGTCCCTGACGTCCATCACGATCAAGTAATTGCGCATGTCGATGTCGATGCCGCGCGATCGAGAAATTATTTTATTTTTTTTAATCTGTGCTCGCAGGAACATGTTCATGGAGGTGCACAAGAACGTCAGCATCCTGTACGCCGACGTCGTCAACTTCTCCGGGCTGACGGTGCGCATGCCCGTGCAGAAGCTCGTCGAGACCCTCAATCGGCTGTTCGGCAGCTTCGACGACGCCTCGGAGCTGCGCAAGGTGCTGCGCATCAAGTTCCTCGGCGACTGCTACTACTGCGTGGCGGGGGTGCCCCAGCCGGATCCGCGCCACGCCGCCAACTGCGTCGATCTGGGCCTCGACATGATCGACATAATCGCGGGCCTCGGGGCCGGGGTGAGGCGCGAGTGCGGCGTCGACATCGACATGCGCATCGGCGTGCACTCGGGCGAGATAATGGCGGGCCTGCTGGGCGCCATCAAGTGGCAGTACGACATCTGGTCGAGGGACGTGTGCGTGGCCAACAAGATGGAGCAGACGGGCAGGCCGGGCAAGGTGCACGTGACCGCGAGGACCCTCGAGCTCCTGAATCGCGACAATTATTGCGTGGAGGAGCTGGATCAGACGGGGAACGAGATCTTGAACAAGTACGGGATCACGAAGAGTTACCTGATCACGCCGGTCAAGCAATGCGAGGTATTGTATACATTAATTAAATAATTTCATGTGTTTCAAAAGTGATGAAAATTCATCAGAATTCACTAAAAAAATATTTAAATCGCAAAGAATGATATTCAAGATATCCGGCCACATTTCAACTTTTACACGAGTTAAATAAAAAATTTCAATGATTTCACAGTAAATCTAAATAAACACTCCTACGACTTGAATAAACATTAATCGGGTAACAGATGGCGATAGGGCACTATCATCTAATGCTTACATTATAAATTTCGTGCGGTTTTCTTTCTCTAATCGTCCAACGTTTATGGTCTACGTTTCATGTGTTTTCAGCCAGAAAAGTACGAGTACACCAGCGACACTTGCAGACGCAGACGTCCAAATCGCAGGTAAGCATCGAGCTTGCAGCAGTCGTTCGACAAACGCATTCTCTCAATTTGCCAATCGTATCCCTTTTTGCCCATAGAAACGCCTACGACCAGCAAGCCCAGCGAACGAATCACTTCGGCCAGATGATCGTGCGCAATTACCATCTCATACTCAAGGAGGCCAACAAGGAGATGGAAAAGGCGATCGACCACATGCCCCTCACGAAAATCGAGTACGTATATTATATATAAAAAATGACGCGCGCGTCGGGCGCCTCGAACAAAGTTCGAAAATAAGATCGATCTCGCTCTCTCTCTCTCTCTGTCGCGCGACTACAGACAGTGGGGCAAGTGGGAGAGGATCAATCCGATCAGTCTGCAATTCGACAAGTGGCAGTGGGAGCTCGAGTACTGGCGCGAGCCCGATCCCCTCTTCAAGTTCTCGATCCTGCTGCTCGCGGTGCTGCTGCCCTGCGTAGGTCCGATCCTCCTCATACGCAACAACAGCAACGTCCAGATGAGCTACACCATCTTCAGCTATCTCGGCACTTTTCTCTTCACCCTCATGCTCATACCCATGTCCTGGATGCAGTTCATCTGGGATTACGTCCTGACCAAGAACAACGACGAGCAGAATCCCTCCTGCGTCAAGCCGACCAATCCCGTCATCAAGTTCTTTTATCGCACCAGCAACGAGGTATTACCAATGTATTCTTCGGAGGCAATTTTTTTCATTTACGAGCTTTATTTTTAACTATGAATTTTTTTGTTGTTGCGAAGATAGTGTGGAAAGACAGTCTGCGTATTCTCGTCTACTTCACCCTCACTACGATCCTGACCATCACGACTACCTACACGTTTTTGGTGAGTCTCTGCGTAAATGTGATCGATCCGATTGAATTTAAACGTCGTTCGTTTTCAATAGTACGAGTGCCAATTGCTGGTTCAAGCCGAGTCGCACAAGCTCAACTCCAGCAGTCCGATCGAGCCGACTTACGCCTACAAATGCGTCGCTACGCCTTGGGTACGTCAACAAAAAAAATTCATAATTATTCGAGCCATCGTTATATTGTTCTTCCGTTTTTCAGCAATTTACCGAGCTGTGCGCCATAACCATCATAACTACCTTCATGTTTCTGCGGATAAATTTCTTCATTAAGCTCTTCTCCGGCGCCATGATAGCGATTTTTTACGCCTGCAACGTCTGGATTTATCGATCCAAATTATTTCAAGTAAATTTCGAACTTACGTATATCAAGTTGTGTTCTGAATAATTTCAATTTTTTCTTCGATTCGTAGATACCCCGGGAAGCCTGGAATCCCATTCTCGGGGCTCAATTGTCTCACACGCTTGCCATTGTTTACCTTATATTCTCCATGCATCTGATCGATCGACAGACGGAATATCTAAACAGATTGGATTATCAATGGAAGCGTCGACTCGCCCAGGAAAATCGAGAGGCTTTCAATGTCTGTCGCGCCAACAAACTCTTGTTGCTCAATATTTTGCCGAATCACGTGGGTAAGTCGACGCGCGACTTTTTTCGTCTACTTTCGGACGATGTAAAAAAATTATTCTGTACAGCTGAAAAATTCATGGGAATGGACAACACGATGCTGAACCGGCTTTATCACGAGAAGCACGAGTACGTCGCCGTGATGTTCGCCACCCTGACCAATCTGTCCATCGAGAACGTCGACACCCTGTCGAATTACAACAAGATAATCTGCCACTTCGACCTGCTGCTGTTCAACGCGATGTTTCAGCATCGAGTAGAAAAGATCAAACTAGCAGGTTGGGTACAAAAATTGATACACACATTTTTATACTTGCCCCCCGTGAGAACGAGAAAAAAAAAGTGCATCGCTTTTCTCTCTCTGCCGACAGGAACGACGTACATGGCCGCCAGCGGATTGGACAATCTGAGGCGCAACTCGGGCGGCGAAAATTCGCCGGGAAAGTACAGCGTGTTGAAAGTCCTGACTCGCTTCGCCGCGGAAATCATGAAGATCACGGAAAATATCAATAGCCAAGTCGACGGATCTTACGCGTGAGCATATAGCAGTATTTATCCTTCGAGAGACGAGTTCGATTTCTCTATCGCCCCCCTCCCAATTTGAATTACGCACAGATTGAGAATCGGCATATGCACGGGCGAGGTGACGGCCGGCGTGGTGGGCGTCAAGAAGCCCCTCTACGACATCTGGGGCGACGCGGTCAACATGGCCTCGCGAATGGACACCACCGGGGTGCCCGGCAAAATTCAGGTACTGAAGGAGACGGCCGACAGCCTGGAGAAGCTCGGGGTCAAGTGTCATCCACGCGGCGAGACCTACGTCAAGCCCAAGGGCCTGTTGACCACGTACTTCGTCGGGATCGACGCGGATGGGCAGCTGGAGAGGTGCGGCGCGTCGCTGCTGCCGGACATCGTAGAGGAGGTCGACGAGGACGAGGAGCAGGACGCCTCCAAGTTGTGACAAAAATTTTTAGCGACAAAAAGTTGAATTTATTTATCTTTTTTTTACGTTCGTATACTTGTTTTTTCTACGTGTGCCATCGGTAATCGTACAAAATGATGTATGATTGTTTTTTTGTTCTATCTTTTAGGAATTCTTTTGATAAATCGATGATTTTTGATAATTGCATTTTATTCATTTACTCGATGATTATTACTTGAAAAAAAAAAGTTGATTAACGCATGATGTATCCCCCCGCGGACAAAACATTCGTATTATATGTTCCTTTGGTAGAACTTTGGCATCATTCACTGATGATGATCATCATCATCGTATATATTTCGTACACCAAAAAAAGCATCGAAAAAATTCCAATCCACGTGTACACAGGGGTGGTCGGAGCTTAATCACATGATGACTGCATTCAGTCAGCGGCAGCCCTCTCGATGCCTTTTTGCTCTTTTTTTGCTGCGCCAGGTCAAAAAAACATACACTTTTATCTATACAACTATCGGAGCTGTACATGCGTGTCGGTGGTGATGGTGCAGCGCCGGTTGCAGCACTCTCGGCGCGCACGGCGGTGCCACACAAAAGCTTCAAAAGTGCGCGCGGGCTCTAAAAAACATACATACTCGTGGCATTATGAACCGCAAAAACGATCCGTGTAAATTTCATAGTTTTTCTTTTCTTTTCTTTTTTTTTTTGTACGCATGCACGTCTGCACACGGCGCGTCCGCGATAAATCGACGCGTGCTGATGAATTGCATCACCGAGTCTCGATCTTCGGACGTTCTCGGAAAAAGCGAAATTTCGATACAAAATGGATCGAGCATAATCAAGAAAGCGAGTATATATAAAGAATATTGCCCGCGGCTTCCGCGCAGAGTCGCCTCGCTTTCATATCGTATCGTATCTTACGAATCAGACATCTTATTTCGTGCCCCGCGTTATTATATGTATTTTGCTATACACACACAAAAAAAAAAAGCTGCTGCATAGCTCCTAGAAAAAAGCTCATTTCTTTATAGACGCGCGTATACCCGCGAGATATAATATTTTCTCTTTCTCGATTCGCGTATACTCGTTTATTGAATATTTTCGATATAAGATGTACACTCGCATCTGTATGCCTATACGCATCTCTCTACCCTCGAGTAGATCATATATTATATTAAAAAAAAAATCTCGTTTCGAAAATTAGCCCTTAGATAGTACCACGCAGACCGCAGACTCTCTCTCTCTCTCTCTCTTTGGATGATATAATACAATCTTTTAATGGACGCATGTACACGCGCGCCCAGCTTTAGAACTTTGTACTCACCCGCGTGGTACCGCGCGCACACAAAAGTGGCGCAAAGAGTTTACTACTGCTGCCGCTGCGACCCCTTTTTTTGTACACCCTCTGCTGCTGCTGCTGCTGCTGCTGCTGCTGCTACTGCGCGCAATGCGATTCTTTCGCGGGCTTTTACTACTACTGCTACTACGCCTACGCACGCAGTACCAGCAGCAGCAACGCCTTTGACATTTTAATCTGGTTTTCATTGCTACTGTGCGTATAACTGGAGTTTTTACATCTCTCTCTCTCTCTCTCGCTTTTTACTCTACAACGGCTAGGCGGGGGTCTGATGTATCTTCCTAGACTTTATTTTCTTTTTTTCTTTTTTTTGTTTTGTTCTTTTTATTCTCTTTGCTTTGTTTTGTTTTACGCAGCATCCTGCGGTGGTGGCAGTATAGCTGCACTAAAGAAAATTAGTCGAGTTCATTTTATATATACTATTTCATTATTTTTGTATATTTTACATCTGGTTTCTCTGGCGGAGAACTTTTGAATGAGGCAAAAATAAAATTCACAGAACTAGTTCACGAGCCTTCCTCGGAATTGCGGGTAATTATTTCACAGCAAAAATTTGCTGATGATGTTCTCGACGAGCCACATATCGGTGAACTGCAGGTGATTCGCGTCGATCGAGAGAAAATGTAACTTTCCTGCCTCGTCCATTTCCTTCAATCCCAGGCGATCCTGCGAAGTAAAAAAAAAAAAATTGATAAAGCTCGGCGTTGTTTTTCGAAAAATTTTAATTCTGTTGCATTCACGATTACCTCGATGTAAATGTCGCTCTCCTGTAGCGTCTGAGTCTCGACCGCCTGGCCGGGTTTGTAGAATCCGAACCACTCGGTTATCTTCGGCTCGACCATCGAGTCCTGCTCGAATTTCACCATCACGAAGTTCTCGAGCTTCTTCAGATTCGTTTTGTAAGTCTGCGCAAAGAGGAAAAAGAAAAGTATTATTTTACGATAAACGCACTATAGGAACGCGCGGGAAAGTCGCGTTGCAGCGAATACGCGCGTGCAGGGAAAATTGGCATTGCCGTATGAATTTCCATATATACGCACGACGACGACGACTACGCGCATTTACTTTCTAATAGCGCGGCGCTAGGTCGAATCGACGAGCATCGATGCCTCGGCCCGAACGCGGAAACGATTCGTAATATCTACCGCGCGAGCTCGACATTATTATTGGTAGGCGAAAGGGAAGGCGTTACGCGCACTTTAACACGCAAAAAAGCCGCAATTATAGAAAGTCTCGCATGGAACACATTAACGAGCGATTCCTCCATATTTTGAAAATGTAAGAGTTTTAAAAAAATAGACATAAAAAGTATTATTTATGAATAATAATTTCTTATAATTTATGTCTTTTTAAAGAATTTGTGTGAGCAAATAAAACTTTTCGCGACGATTTGCTAAGTGAATTACGACACCGCTCGTGAATGTTAAATTATGAGCATAATTGTCAGTTTGAAAGATAATAATGAAAACTTATGGTTGGGCTCATTTTTTTGTCATTACGACGATTACTATCTTCAAACTACGTTTCGAGCATTTACAAAACGATACATCGTCTTTCACAAGGCATCAATTTTCTAAAACTACGTGTAGAAGGAAGATTCTGTGAAAATTTCAAGTTGATAAGATTTTTTTTTTGATTTACGATTTCGGTCTTAAGGATTAAATCTATTTTCAACTGCCTCACATTTGACACTTGACTTGATAAAAATGTTGATAAAAAAGTTACGTAACAAAAAATGTGAAATAAAGCTTCTAGTTAATTTTCAAATGTACGTTCCTGGCTTGAAAAAAAAAGTCGAATTAAACGCGAGTTCGTCAGATTTTGAAAGCAAGGAAGAATTACTCATACATGTTGACGTTTTCATACCTCGTTGACAAATCGCTCGTTGTTGATATCGGCTAGGAAGATACTGTACTTTTTGTACTCCTTCTCCTTGAGTGGGTCATGCCAGTACTCGGCTTGGACCAGCTTCTCCTGGACGAATCTGTAAAAAAAAATTACAAAGCATCAAAAATGAATAAATAAATTGGCCAGCATCGCGCGATGTAAGTCTATCGTCTTATCGAAAAGTCTTTCAGCGTCTTACTTGGAATAAGCCGTGTAATGCAGCAATCTTCGGAGATAATCGCAGAAATGGTGCTGAAGCGAAGCGCAATTCGGCAGGCCGTAAACGCCTTGATGCTGACCACCCAGCGAGATGAGATTTTTCATGGGCGGCGAAGGGCATCTCTGCGCCACTGCTCGTCTGCGCAGAAAATCATGGAAAAATTATTAGCCGGCGAACGATGACGCATTTTTTCAACGCCTACTTACAAAAATTGGCCACCCTGCGAGAAACCGATGGCGTTGTAGCCGTCCCGGAGCTGCTCGTCGTTGGCCAGCTCCTCGCAGACCTGCGCCACTTGCTCGTTGACATTTTTAAAGTAGCTGTTCTCGACGTCCTGCAACGGAAATAGTGAAATGAACGATTCCTCGTTCATGATCGGTAAGGAATCGGATGAACTTACCTCGATCTCGTTGTTGCCGATTCGTATCGATTTCACGTAGACGTCTGTCATGTGCTGCTCCAGAATTCTTTTTATCTGCCCGAGACTGTAGTCGAAGCAGCAACTGTCACCTATGTAAAAAAATGTTTCGACGTTGTATTTTGATCTCCGCAGGGGTCACGGCGCAATTGATAAGCTGGCATAATCGGCCGCTTCCTCTTCTCGCGCGCGAGAAAAATAAAATATATTTTATCGTTTCGTCGAAGATCGACTCACCCATTCCGTGCCACATCACGACCGGCGTGACTTTTCTCGTCCGATTTCCATTATTATCCTCGGCGACGACACTGGAGCAAATCAGCGCCGAGAACAGCAGCAGCAGGACTGCAACGGACGCCCGAAACGACATTTCGATCTGTTTGCTGCGCACACGAGAGCGAGAGAAAGACGCGTAGAGGTCGACGAACTCGTGCTGTGCGTTGTCGCGGACGATCGACTATAGCCTGGCCTTTACTCGCTGACACTCGATGCGCGACTGAACTTGCTCAACATTAACGCCGACGCGACTAGGTCGGGTCCTCTTCTGTAATCTTTGGGTATATGATGCACCGAAGACCGGCCGATCCTTTCCTTTTTGAGCGACGAGTCGATTTGCGCTCGTGTACGTGCGTTTACACACGCGTGTATACAAGTATACGAGCGATGTTTTTGTCACGCACGACTTGCATTACATGTATAATACGTGTGCGGGGCGGCTATACATGCGACGCATCACGCCAGCTGCTGACGATTCTTGACAAATTTGCGCGAGAGATTTCCTGAGAGATCGGCTGCTGGTCACGTAGACTTCTGCAAGAACAAAATCGGGGTGCAGATTTTATCGCGTGTAGCTGTTGTCGCTTCGAGGGTCAGGTATATAAATCATCGACATCGTTATTTTTTTTTTTTTTTTAGATAAAATTGCAAAATGTATTAGCAAAAATAATGAAAAAATACACAACGCTCATTACTGTCGATCAGTGTTACAAATATATAACGAATGAACTCGTGCTGCCCATTACAGATCTATATATTCATATCGCTTTCCCTTGCTTAACTTTCCAGATCTTACGAATTTATTACTTTTCAACTATATACTGTCTCTCTTTTTTTTTTCATTAACTTACTTTACAGATCGTATAACACAATTTTTCCCCCATCTCTCGTCGTTTACATATGCACTCACACACAACAAATGTCCACGTCTCGCGTGTGAAGATTTTCCTCGCGTATACAATACAAAATTTAAATGTATCGAATGGAAAAATATCGAACGCTTCGTTATGCAAAATTTTTCACACTCTTTTTTTCACAAGACTTAAATTTATTTCTAATATATATAATAATCACTCTTGCAATCGTGACTTGTACAATACACAAGGCTGCCACATGGCTAAGTTGTAAATTAATAATTGGTATTTTTCACAATTGTGCGACTTCGTTTTTTTACTATCGTTTAATTAACATTGTACATGTATGATAAGGCACTAAAAAAATTCCAAATAAACTTAGTAATCGCTCTTTTCATACGCAACGAATTTATTAAACTCAAGCTTGATTTATTCTCTTTCTTTTTTGACAATGAAATCGAATTTTCTGCTGCTTCTCAGTCGAAGTTTAATTATATTCATAAATCATGCGATTTACAACAGACTGTAACTTATTTCTCAGCCGTCAAAATCGTTAAGCTTATGCTTTCACAAAATAAAAAATATCGATTTCTTACAAAGATAACATTTTAAACGGTTAGGTAAAAAAAATGTTTTCCTATATTTCTATTTTCTTTAAAATATATATACTTAGCTTTTTACTATTATCACGTGTTAGTCCCTTTTATTACTCGAACGCTAACCTTTGATGAAAATAGTATTTTTACCTATGTGTAAATTATACTTGTAAATAATTTTTTTCCTCTTTTTCTCGTAAAAAATCACATAATTTGGCTTCGCAGAAGCAATATATAAAACGAAATTGTCATCGATTTTTTTTTCTTTGCTATTATCTCATTCTTTATAAAAATGTTTCAAAGTTAATGTGCTAAAATTAAAAAAAAAATCGTTTTAAGTTACAAGTTTTTTTGTTTCTTCGGATTTTTCAGATATACATGTAACATTATCCCGCAATGCTCTGTATTATTAGCTCTTACAAACTATTCATCAATCTTATCTAGGCTCGTAAATAACTACAATGTTTCAATTTGATTATATTTTCTCTCGCTCTTTCTATCGGCGAAGCGGCTGCTGCGGTTTGTTCATAACAATTTTCATATTATAGCCGCGGAGAACGAAATAAATTCTTGTGTCGGAAGAATTGACGTTATTATGTATTACGCGCTATGTATCCATGCACTCGGACTAGTTTATTTCAATACACGTTCATACTTTGTTTACAAAAAAAAGACAGAATCGCTCACGCTTCCGGAAAAAATATAGGCTTTTTATAAATTGATTATTATTTGATTGTCTTTTACGCTCGATAACGTACTTAATATGTAAAAAAAAAGATCATTGTGCGTCGGCTACTGACTGTTTACTCTTTTGTATTAAAAACTACCTTTGCGTCAATAATGAGAAGGCTATTCGATTCTCATTATTCGCGAATGATTTGTTTGTTGTCGAATGTGAAAAAGATAAAATTTAAAAAAAAACAAGTATATTAAGTACAAACGCAATTGAAGCGGCAGTTTGTAATAAGAGAGCTCTTGTTTTTAATAAGGTATCTCGGGTAGTTTTTTTTTTCGGTTACACTATTATTGTTTTCATCATCATCGACATTCACGTTAAACAAAACACACTCGAAGGCGAATAATAACGATAAAAAAAAAATTGTGCTTCTGTATCAGACGAGTCGTTGCAGCTCCGAGCCGCTGCATCGGGGAAGCGTGTGCCTCTTGAGGGCTATGCCGAAAGCCTCGAGATTGTGATCGTTGAGACGCTTCTCCATCCTGAGATGATTGAGAAATCGGTCCTTCTTGGAGCGCGTGAAGTAGCCGCGGGCGCAGGTGCGTCGGAAGGCCTCCTTCTCGGCCGCGATCATGCACTTGGTGGCCTTCTCGTCCTGGAGCTCGTTCGTCGACGTGTTGATAGACACTCTGAGGGCCGTCTCGGAATCCGAATCTGCTTCAGAGAGAAACCAAGAGATTATTATATAACCAATTTTTTTTTATCGCCAACATCGAGCACACTTACCAGACTCCATGGAGGATGCCGAGGAATTCGACGAGCAGCCGGACGACGACAGGCTCAGTTCCCAGGCGGCGGGTCTCTGCATTATGGCCGACGAGTTGCCGAGGACCGTGCAATGGGCCGCCGACGCGGCGGCCGTCGCCTCCGCGGCCGATCTCAGGAGCGACGCGTCGAAGCTCGACGGCAGCGTCTTGCTCTTCAGCTGCTGTCGTCTCGTCTGTCGATTGAGCTGGTGCAGCGACGTCGTCGTCGTGTGTCTGCGCTGCTGCTGTGGATTGCCGTCCGAGTTCGTTTCGACGACTCCTCGGCTGTGCGCGTAGCTTTGTCGTTTTGCTTGTGCATTGCTGAGCTGTGGCGAGCTGCAGCTCTGGTGCGGCGACTGTTGTTGTTGCTGTTGTTGTTGTTCCTCGTTGTTGGCGGCTTTTTGGTCCGTGGAATCTGTGGCGGTAATTTGTTGCTTCTTGCGCGGCGGCACGACCGTGTCGTCTCTTCCTTCGACTAGGCTGTGTAAATAAAAGAGATAATATTTAAATAAAAATGAGATAATATTTAAATTTAACATCGATGAATTAATCATCGTCAATCGATCGACGGCATGCAACAATAAAACGTCATCTAGCTCGAAATAGGCTATTATACTTGCATTTCTCTCTATCTCTCTCCCTCTCGAAACGCCAATAACGCGCGTGGGCGCGAGATAAAACAATTCAAGTTACGCGCGTTATCTCGATGATCGATTATAATAAAGCGCGAGCTCCGTAATAACATCGCAGATCGTAACACAACGGCAGACACTCGACATTTTCGTATTATCAATGCGCGCGATAGCCGTAGTCGTACGTCGTCGTGTAATCGCTTTCCGAAGAAGACGTCGTAGTCGATGTGTTTGTGCGTCAGTGTGCGAAAACGTCGCGAGTACGTGTGTGTATACAAACAAAGACGACGCATCGCACACAATCGCATGGCTTCTTCGATAGGTTCGAGAAAGAGAGATAGAGATATGAGTGAGAAATCGTCGTATAGCAGCAGCTGATACACACACGCTTTAGCCGTGCTCTGCTCTGACCTCGAACTTTCAGCCGCACGCGCCGCGCGTATTATACACGAACAAAAAAAAAGGAGCTATTCACAAAATAATACACGAGTACGAAGTTTCTCGACTTCGGGTTCCTTATAATTCAGGATTCTTAATCGGCACGCACGGGAATAATATCAAGTCCGAAAAAGGTCATTCGTGCGCGAGATGTGTAACACAACGATGATTCACCCATACGTTATAAACATTTTTTTCAACTCGCAGCTGACCTTCAAGGGTTGACGACTGAATTGATCGTCGGATATACGACGACAATGTTGTATTATATAGAAGAGAGATATGGATAATAAAGTGCGCGCGACCCCCGAGGAGTTTAGTATCATATAAGAAAAGAGCCTTGGCGAGTCATAGCTATACACGAACGAAACGAACCTAACATGATAATAATATTTTTCTAATAAGGCAAAAGACCGTGACGAAGTTGCGTCGTCGTCGTCGTCGTTACATTGTAATATAGTCAAAACAGGTACAACATTGTATATGCGCTGCTCATCAACGTGATTATCCGCGCGCCGCGCTTGTTTGAGTTTCGCAAAGCACCAGCAAGCGTAATTATAATTTCAGAGAGAGACAGAGAGACGTCTTTTTCGTTTTTAACCTGGCTATATGCAGCGTCTAAAGCTCCACTGAACAATATGAAATTATTTTTCTTCTTCAAAAAAAAAGCTGACTCGCGAGAGGAGCCAATGTCCGTGCTTATATATGCGTCTTCTTCATTTTCTCTCGCTCCTATTTTTAGCCCGCGATCCGGGTAGCGTATTATAATAAACTCATATATTTTCGGTGTGCGATGGCAAAGATGCAGGGAAAGAAAAAGCACACACTCACGCGCGATTTCCGTTTGTTTTTGCAAATTGTCAATAACCCTCTCGAACTATAAGTGGACGCGGCCGCATGACAAGAGTGCAGAGCTGCTGCTGCTGCGTTGTGTGTATCCGCCAGAGAGTGAAAGTATTTACGGCGTTCGGCCTCGGCATCTTCTCTCGTATACAATATACACATGCGTGCATCATATACAGAGGCCACCGAAGGTCTGTCTATTATGTGTTATGTGTACACGCGGTAATTATCGCGGCATTCCGCGGATAGCTCGGATCCCCGTGGATGCGGCTTTTTCCATCTCTTAGCTACTTTTTTTTTTCTTCTACTTCTCTCGCGTTACGAGGCGAGAAAAGCCGCGAGCACGAGTAGCGTACGCGTATAATGTACGGGGGAAAGGAACGATTAATTTCCAATTAAAAGTCGCGCGTCCCAGTTGATTTATAAGCATAAATATACGAGTTCGTAAGAGTGAAAAGCGTTTACTATACAGCGGTTGACGAACGCGTCGCCGCGGCTGGCTTATCTCTCTACTATTACTACTACTGCCACTACTACTATCGCAACACTCCGGGGTTTTTAATGCGTGCGTAGCGCTGCTCGTACGTGTTTGCATTAATCATCGGCGCAGAAATGACGAGTGCCCGTATTATTATACTAGTGGCAACGCAGTTGCTAAAGCTGAGCGAAACTCGATGTAGCACATATTTTATATATATTTATATAAATTTTTTTTGTCAATAAATCACAATTAAAATATAAGCAGCTGTTGGGTACTCATACTGCATACTGCATACGCGTGCAGATCGAGTGAAATCGTATCGCAATACCGCGTTGTCGCGTGTCGGAAACATATTCGATACATGTCTACATATCTTCTAATCGAGAAGTTCACGTTTGGAAATGGAATCAAAGTACTGACTGTCGTTCCAATGCAACGTGCAATTTCAATGCAACTCGCCGTACATATTGTGTAACGAAACTCACATGACTTTTCAATGTGTCGATTAATTATTGCAGAGTTCAGATTGAATGGCGAATCTTGCGACTTATAATTTGGAGACGGAAGGTAATTCAAGCGAACAAGACAGATTACCATAAGATAAAATATTGAAATATTAGATGAACATAAGAACACCATTTAACTGTGATTGCTTGTATTTTATTTATTGCATATTATATTTAATCTGAACTGATTTAAGCATTTTGTTAAATTAATTACAATATGTATACATGTAAATATAATTGATTCATTATACACGGTACGCAATACATAGATGACAACGGATTTTACAATACACAAATCAAACACATTAACGTGGTATTATAACGCACTTATTGAGGCATTATTACATCAAATACCCACAAATTGCATTTTACGTACAAAATGCGAATTATGCACTACATAACAACATAATTTATTTATATTTACACAATAGTATATAAATACGATTTAACAAATGTAAAAAAACATAATAAATAAACAATACATCGAACAACAATTATACATTTCCTACATATCTCAACCTGGAGCTTTCGTCCACTACGGCCTCGTAGTGATTTCCCATAAGGTGCCAGTCCCTTGAAGAACGCGCAAATATATTTCGCATTGACACGAACGTTCCCCACTGAAAGTAAAAAGCATACAGTTCACTATGTTATCAATTACACTATAAAATAGCTTTATAAATTATAATTAATTTACCTTAATGACTCTCGCACATCTGCGTGCTAAGTCTTGCGACGTCTTGCACCGTATGCGCAAACCCGCATTGTTTTCAACATCGAACGCGAACGTTCGACAAAGTTCCCCATCGACTTCCTGCTCTTCCAATGGCGATATACACACCACTCTGCCTCGAAAACTGGAAAATATTCTGCAAACGAAACAGAATGTTTATTATTTAAGTAATAAATTGTCAACACCGGAACGTGTTTGATTACTTGACCAAGGCTACAATTGTTTCGCATATTATTCTAAGCACGACGCGTATCACCACCGACGTTAACAGCGTAGTAAACATTGTCCATATATAAACACTATTACATATAAGAAAATTGATCTCACGCGGCATTCACATTAGTAGCGTAGACATGAAAAAATTCCTTAACGTGTTACAATACATTATATGATAATAAATACTTACCTCATAATTACACGGTCGCGGAAACGGCGTCCTCGTTCCATTATCGAACCTTTTTATACTGATCGACTAACACCGATCGAATGCGTATTATTAGCTGTAGGATAATCAAAAAAACAAAAATCGAATATACAATCGCGTTTACAACGAACGCAGCTTTACTGCACACAAAATATACCACAATAAAACACGAAAAACTTGTAACACGTACACACGCCTATTGAGCTTACAATTGTAACTATGGTATACACATGTAAACGCTACTACGAGTATTACACTTTCGGATATCGAAGACAAATGAACCGAAACGCGTCTTGCGCGTACATACCAAGCTACAAATGTCTACACATCAATTAATAGTATGAAACAATGGTCCCACAACGCTCTTATTATGTGTTTACACATTTCAAAAGATCCAGTGGGGATTGAAATATATATAAGAACGTGATACCGCGCGCTATCGTCCCTTAATCAATTGTACGTGCTCGCATTCTTTTGGTCATCTGTTACGCGTATCGAATAGAAAATTATTCATCGTTCCTACGCAAATTGCGTACGAATTTGACTCGACTCTACGTTGTATATTGTGCGTATATGCGTGTGACATGGTGCATGTGGTATTTTGTATACGTACATACATACAATTTGACACACAATTGCGCACGTGTAGATCTTGTAGCGCTGTACTTGCGAGTAACGTCTCTCCAGTACCTGTTCCAGGCAGTAAAAATGTATTTGTATGCACTTAAGCTGCATTTTTTTTTCCGGACTAACTGTAAATCATACACACTTTCGTGAACATCATAGGATTATTTTTTTACATACACTTGCACATATATACTTTGTGTAGGTGTGCATGTTTTGTGCGTGCATCAATGCGCGCTGGTATAGAGTCTCGAGTCGAGATGCAACGAGTCTTGAAGGTTGTACATAGTAGTAATAAGGGGATATCCGCGCCACAGCAGCATAAATAAATAAAATTAATTTTACAGTAACATTAACCCGTACTTCACCCACGTACTCAACCATTCACTTAAATTTAAACCACAAAAATAATATATTCTCATTTATTCCTACTGTGTTACTAAATCATAGCGTGCTTTCACGCGCTTCAAGTGCTACGCGGAACCGATTCAGACAGTTAAAACATTTCATATAGCAAGTCCAGCAGGATCGGATTACCGAACGCGCGAAGTATAGTCGCACGATCGTCGCCAACCTTTGCTACCTATACACGAGCCTCTCCGCAGTAGACGAATCTTATGAGCGTACGCGCCACACGTATATAAAACTAAGCGAGGCAGATAAAAGAGAGTACAAAAAACAGAAATCACAAAAAAAAAAAAAAAAAAAAAAAAAAAAAAAAAAAAAAAAAAAAAAAAAAAAAAAAAAAAAAAAAAAAAAAAAAAAAAAAAAAAAAAAAAAAAAAAAAAAAAAAAAAAAAAAAAAAAAAAAAAAAAAAAAAAAAAAAAAAAAAAAAAAAAAAAAAAAAAAAAAAAAAAAAAAAAAAAAAAAAAAAAAAAAAAAAAAAAAAAAAAAAAAAAAAAAAAAAAAAAAAAAAAAAAAAAAAAAAAAAAAAAAAAAAAAAAAAAAAAAAAAAAAAAAAAAAAAAAAAAAAAAAAAAAAAAAAAAAAAAAAAAAAAAAAAAAAAAAAAAAAAAAAAAAAAAAAAAAAAAAAAAAAAAAAAAAAAAAAAAAAAAAAAAAAAAAAAAAAAAAAAAAAAAAAAAAAAAAAAAAAAAAAAAAAAAAAAAAAAAAAAAAAAAAAAAAAAAAAAAAAAAAAAAAAAAAAAAAAAAAAAAAAAAAAAAAAAAAAAAAAAAAAAAAAAAAAAAAAAAAAAAAAAAAAAAAAAAAAAAAAAAAAAAAAAAAAAAAAAAAAAAAAAAAAAAAAAAAAAAAAAAAAAAAAAAAAAAAAAAAAAAAAAAAAAAAAAAAAAAAAAAAAAAAAAAAAAAAAAAAAAAAAAAAAAAAAAAAAAAAAAAAAAAAAAAAAAAAAAAAAAAAAAAAAAAAAAAAAAAAAAAAAAAAAAAAAAAAAAAAAAAAAAAAAAAAAAAAAAAAAAAAAAAAAAAAAAAAAAAAAAAAAAAAAAAAAAAAAAAAAAAAAAAAAAAAAAAAAAAAAAAAAAAAAAAAAAAAAAAAAAAAAAAAAAAAAAAAAAAAAAAAAAAAAAAAAAAAAAAAAAAAAAAAAAAAAAAAAAAAAAAAAAAAAAAAAAAAAAAAAAAAAAAAAAAAAAAAAAAAAAAAAAAAAAAAAAAAAAAAAAAAAAAAAAAAAAAAAAAAAAAAAAAAAAAAAAAAAAAAAAAAAAAAAAAAAAAAAAAAAAAAAAAAAAAAAAAAAAAAAAAAAAAAAAAAAAAAAAAAAAAAAAAAAAAAAAAAAAAAAAAAAAAAAAAAAAAAAAAAAAAAAAAAAAAAAAAAAAAAAAAAAAAAAAAAAAAAAAAAAAAAAAAAAAAAAAAAAAAAAAAAAAAAAAAAAAAAAAAAAAAAAAAAAAAAAAAAAAAAAAAAAAAAAAAAAAAAAAAAAAAAAAAAAAAAAAAAAAAAAAAAAAAAAAAAAAAAAAAAAAAAAAAAAAAAAAAAAAAAAAAAAAAAAAAAAAAAAAAAAAAAAAAAAAAAAAAAAAAAAAAAAAAAAAAAAAAAAAAAAAAAAAAAAAAAAAAAAAAAAAAAAAAAAAAAAAAAAAAAAAAAAAAAAAAAAAAAAAAAAAAAAAAAAAAAAAAAAAAAAAAAAAAAAAAAAAAAAAAAAAAAAAAAAAAAAAAAAAAAAAAAAAAAAAAAAAAAAAAAAAAAAAAAAAAAAAAAAAAAAAAAAAAAAAAAAAAAAAAAAAAAAAAAAAAAAAAAAAAAAAAAAAAAAAAAAAAAAAAAAAAAAAAAAAAAAAAAAAAAAAAAAAAAAAAAAAAAAAAAAAAAAAAAAAAAAAAAAAAAAAAAAAAAAAAAAAAAAAAAAAAAAAAAAAAAAAAAAAAAAAAAAAAAAAAAAAAAAAAAAAAAAAAAAAAAAAAAAAAAAAAAAAAAAAAAAAAAAAAAAAAAAAAAAAAAAAAAAAAAAAAAAAAAAAAAAAAAAAAAAAAAAAAAAAAAAAAAAAAAAAAAAAAAAAAAAAAAAAAAANAAGAAGTAACGCATATTTTGATGGGCTGGCCTCTGTATCATTCATCGCGACCCGTAGTTTCGATTTCCATAAATGATGAGTGCTGGGAAGCATTGAAGGTATTCAACATTTTTCTACAACAACCCAATCAACTTTACGGTTTTATCATACAACACTTTCATATATACATCTATTCATATTTCATTTTCAGACTAAATCAACCAAGATAAGCCGAGATATCAAATCGATCTTACAGAAATATTTAGATCAACCACAAACCTTAGAACATTTATCTCTCTTTGAATTCGCTAAAAATTTTTACGTTCGATGTAAAATTTACACTAAAAGGCTTCAACCCGCAGTGGTACAAATATTTCCCAAGTACAATACTACTAACGACGAAAACACAAATACATCGTATTACAAGCAACAATGTATACTGCACATTCCGTTCAGATCCAACATCGAACCGTTTCACACTCTTCAACACGGCAACAACACAACGTGGCAAGACTTATACGAACAGCACAACATATCGAATCACCACATACCCGACTTACCATCACTTGACCCCAATAACAACGAAACCAATGACGACCCCAATATCGACACAGAAGACGACATACATCGTAATGCATTCGAACTCGCATCCTCATTACGTACGAATGATAACGACTCTCAGCTTGGTTGTCGATTAATGGACGTAATATACGATTGGAAACAACATACAAACGAGTATCCATCATTTGACGCAATCAACCAATTTCTCCATACATACAAATCATCATCAAGTACATCACCACAAACAGTCGACAATGCATCCATAGACATCTCATTATCTCCAGATCAATCAATCGTTATCCACACTGTTCAACAACAAATAGAGTACATACTACTTCATAATAGTAATGAACAATCTACGTCCAATAATCTTAAACGATACATAATACAGGGTAAAGCTGGTAGTGGCAAAAGTACTATCATTCATAGAATGCGACATCTTATCACATCTAAATTAAATTCAGATGCACTTGCATTAACAGCTCCAACAGGCGCAGCCGCTATAAACATAAATGGTGAAACATTACACTCCTTCTTCAAACTCCCCATATCTCATAAATCATTTTCCGAATTAAAAAATCAAGCATTACGCAAATTTCAAATTGAAAAAAAAAATCTCAAATTTCTTATTATTGACGAAATGTCTATGATTGGTGCTCGCTTCCTGCATCAGATAGACAGACGGTGCAGGCAATTATTTCCACACGTAGATGAACCATTCGGCGGCATATATGTCTATTTAATAGGCGACTTCAATCAATTACCACCCGTTAAAGACGCTCCTTTATACAGCACATCACATTACGACGAGTTCTCCATTAACGGATCAATCATTTTTAATTCTTTTCAACGATTTATAGAGCTATCAACCAACCATCGACAAACAAATAATACCCCTTTCATCAATCTACTGAACAACATAGCATCAGGCAACATCACAAATGATGACTACGAAATGCTAGCAAAACGCAGAGAATCTATTTTACCCATTGAAACCAAACTACAATTTAAAAATTCAATACATTTATATGCAACTAATATACAAGTACAGGAACGAAACGAAACACAACTCAAAATCAATAATACGCCCGTCATCAAAATAAAATCACACAACACGCCCGATATTGCAGTTACAGCAAGCGACGACACGTTATCGGGATTACAACACATCTTACTATTATCTATAGGATGCCGAGTAATGTTAAAAACAAATGTATGGGTAACAGGAGGTCTGATAAATGGATCTATAGGTACTGTAAGAGCTATATTGTACGACTCCGACGTAGACCCACCCAATTTACCGTTCGCAATAATGGTAGAATTTGACGCATTTGCAGGTCCCTTCGTCCACAATAACTGTTTTCCCATTAAATGTATCACAAGATCATGGAGTTCACGAGGCGTCAAATGTACAAGAAAACAATTTCCGCTTACATTATCATACGCTATCACCATTCACAAATCACAAGGCCTAACACTCGATAACGTCGTTATTGACATAGGCAGTAAAGAAATGACTGGCGGTATAACATACGTCGCATTAAGCCGTGTCAGATCTATAGAAAATATAATGTTCTCCAAATTTTACGACAAAAAACGATTCGATTTGATATCAAGATCACAAGTAATAAAAAGTCGTAACAGTTTTTTAAAACGTCTGAGACTCTTGCATAACCAATAGTAATCAGATGAAATTATTATTATTAAAGTAATTATTATAGTAATTAATCTCAAACTTATATCCATCAAAAATAAACATGCATTCAAGGGTTCAACTTCAACGAGCAATACGCCACACATGAATCGCAATAATACACTCTATATAAATTACAAAAACTCTTTATTATGTATTATACAACTAACGTACAACGCACGCATTTTATAACTAATATAATAACTTTTTAAAATTTCATACTTTAATTAGTATGAAGTAACGAGAATTTAATAAACATTTAAATTAATGTCAATGTTAATAATAAACTTTACACCACAAACTAAAAAACTCGTAGCATATATCTCTTTAATCCTATACCAATTCTTAGCATGCATTTATTAAAACACCAGAACAGTTGAAGGCGTGATTCGATTCTAGCAGTCTTTCACGTCAATCGAAAACAACAATTTAAACACATCACCGGCGATTACAGCTACTTCACTCTTTGTAACTTTGACCCTACTTAGACATTCACAGCTTTAAACACGTAACAGGATTTTAAATCTACTTCGTTCTTTACAGTTTTCACACTTATGCGCCACAATCTCGATCGATAGCCACAAATGAATTTAAACGCACCCCCGCAGACATTTCTGAATACTTTCAAAAATGTGTACACGTCAACGCATTTTACACCTACTGCAGCCTTTGCGATTTCCCTTCCCGCGCTCCCGCATCCATCGAAAAACGGATTTTCACCCACTTCTGAAGACAAACACGTAACAGCATTTAAATATTTAATATACACTTTATATACACTTCTGAAGAAATTCCCGAAGACATTCCGGAAGACGTTCTGAAGACATTCACGACACTAAACAGGTAACAGCATTTAAAACCTATTTCGCGCATTACATTTTCCATTTATATGCGTCAATCTCGATCAATAGCAATACATGAATTTAAACGCACTCCTGAAGACATTTCTGAAGACTTTTAGAATTTTTAACACGTGAACCCATTTGACACCTACTTGCTCTTCCTTTTATGTGCTTACATCTCATTCGAAAAACCGATTTCAACGCACTTCTGAAGACATTCCTGAAGACGTTCGCAACGACTTCAGAATTTATACAGCACATCCCCAGGTCGATACAAAGCCACCATAAAAATTTGAAACCAATCAATTGAACGGTTATCGAGATATCGTGTTTACAAGCTCGACCCGAGTTAACAATAGAAGGACTTCGCTCCGCTCAGCTTAATTATTAATACGTTCGCTGTATGCTCTAAACAGCGCCGCGACATTCCTCCGACGCTCCGGATACTTTCGAGGAGTGCTGATTCACCTATCGGCCACTCTGATGCTTCGTCGGGCTAATGACATTTTTATTGAAAAAATAAAAAAAAAGAAAAAATAATGTAAAACGATCGTGCGATCTTGCAGATTTTCCGCTGCTGCGTGCGAATAGTATAGTTAAGGTAAGACGACGCTCTTTAATGGTGGTGTGTGTGTGTCTGTCTTTGTGAATGCTGCTGCTACTCCGTTTACGTACAATCATAACAATGATAATGGTATAAAATCGCGCCGAGTATGAGTCATCGTCGTCGTCGCCGTCGTCGCGAGCGGCCGGAGCATTATTGCGACGATGCACGCCCTTTTATACATACTACTACTACTACCACTACTGTATATAGTTGCGGAGTAGCTTTAGAAGCGGAGACACGCAACTCGAGCGCGACGGTGCGCGCGGCCACTTGTTGCGAGTGCGGCTGTACTTAAAACTCTGCTTCTAGCTACTAGTCGCGCGCGCGCGAGAGAGAGAGAAGCGACTATTTAGACCCGATGCTGTCAAGTGCGTCTATCATCGTCATCATCATCATCATCATCATCATCGTTGTTGTATGGAAATGATGCGCTTCCTTATGATGGATAATTTCGATCATTCGATGCTGCTGTCTACGGAATCTTAATCATACATAAACATTACGCGAACATCAATTTGACTCTAACATACGCCTTATATTGTGTGCGATATGTGGATTTTTTTTTTATTATTTTCGTACCGTAGATTACGCAATCGCGCGAGAGAGAGATGTGCATACCAGCGGCTGCTGCTGCTGCTGCTGCTTTCACTTTCTTTTTTATTATCGCTCTCTGTCTGGGGCCGCCGGCTCCGGGGCTTCGGGAACGCGAACGAAAATAAAAGAAAAATGCAGCCAGCCAGTAGTGGCCAACGCGACGTTTTAAAAAAGAAATTAAAAGAACGTGAAAATCGAACGCGCGTGTATAAAGATGGAGAGACGCAGTACGTGCACGCAGCCATATATTACAAGAGAGTGAAAGCGATGGGCGGACGAGGAGTCAAAAACGCAGCGAAACTTGGCCCATTGTGAGTGGTAGACGCAGCCGAGGATAATGTTAATGAATCAGGATCGAGGATCGATCTCGTCGTTTTTCTTTTCTGACAAATTCTTAGGACCCAGCCGAGCGTTTGATTTTACTTTTCTCGGTCGTTTTTCTCCCTCTCCCCATAATATGTCACGCAGATTAGCTCTTGTGCAGACGCGCCAAGGTCATCGTGCATTTTTTTTTTTGAATTATATATATATATACTCGAGGCTGCGTAGGTAGAGAAAGAGACGCGCATTCCACTCGAAGGCAGTCGCACCAAAAACTCGTCGCACATACGTTAGAATCAAGATATATACAAAAAAAAAGACAACACGCCGTATACGAATATAAGGTACTACGCGAGCCGATTCACGACTCGCCGTATTAGCCGAGGCGGATAGAGTTATGCCGGGAATTCGGTGCCGAGATTACGCGCGACGCTCGTTATGTTGCTCGGTGTAAAAATCCGAGAGACGAGATAATAATGTAATATTATAAAGCCGGTGCTGCTGCTGCTGCTGCTGTTACACGCGCGCGAGGCCAAGGATTGGCCCCGCGTATATATAGTATATATGGTATAAGTAATTGCGAGAAATTACCTAAGCGCGACAATTAGCACTCGAGTTTGAAGATTGACACTGACTGCGAGCGTGCGGCGGCGGCGCCGTTGTTGTCGTCGTCGTGCTCGAGTGCACTCACTCAGATTATCGTTATACGAGTGTCTTGTGTCGGGAAAAAATTCGTTTATATACGACATTTCAAATAACCCAAAAAATATTTTTTTTTTTTTACACATGAATTTTCCCTGCCTGAAAACACTTCAAATTATATAAACATCAAACCGGTATAAGTATATCGTTATGTTTGTGCACGATCGATTACGAGCTTTTCGCGCGCCGTCGAAGCGATACGCATCTATTGTTTTTCCTCGCGCGATCGCTGCAAACTGCACACACCGCCGCCTTATCTCTCTGTCTTGCAGCTCGCGACCACGACACGTTCCCCGCGCGCGGGCGTGCATTATCACCCCAAGTTACACGGCTAATTATTAGAGATACATCGTTCGGTCGCGTGAGCTTTTTTTTTGCGTACTCCAGGAAATGCCGATCGCGCGTACACAGTATCAGCGACTCGAACGACTCTTTCCGGGAAGAGATCGGGTCAATTATAATATATATGGGAAAAATAAAAGAGAGTTAGTATAATTGTAAGGCTTGACACGCGACGTTGACTCGAGAGCGGAGATAGGTGTGGCTGCAGAGAAGAGGAGGACGAAAATTCCAAAATGCCAGCGAAGCGCAACAAGTTTATGTATATTTATACGTAGCGTTCGGAGACACGCGTCAGTTATAGAGTTTACGTATAGATATGCAATCCATCGGGGGCCCCAGACGCAGGAGATACGGATCGTTTCGAAAAGGATTACAACTAACGCCAAGAGAGAGAGAGAGAGAGATTGATGCTGTGACGCGCGAGCAATTATAAATGTAATAATTTAGTTGCATCGGTGTAGCTTCGAGAATCAGGATTGTAAAACAATAGAAAGACGACGCACGCGCGCGTGTGTGTGTGTATGCGAGAGTCGAGAAAACGATTGTAAAGATGGTTCGAGTATTATTATAAGTCGTTTGACGAGCTGCAGTTATGCAGCAGCTCCGAGCGAGGAATTTTGAACGACGTCCAAGCGCGAGCAAGCGAGTGCGTTTCTCAACCCAGCAGCAGCAGCAGCAGCGGCACATATACATGCATACACACACCCAAGTATATAGGTAGGCTAGCAACGATACACAGCTGAGCGCTATAATACATGTCGTCGTCGTCGTTGTCTCTTTCGATGTGTATATAAAGGCAAGAGTTGCAACTACATAACCTGCAGCGCAGCGCCAAAGAGAGAGAGAGAGAGAGAGATCCGTCACGACGACGACGACGACGACGACTCGCAGCACAGCGCGCAACAACTGACGACGACGAGTCGATGGGCTATTATTAATAATGTTTAGAGATATAGATGTATAATGTTTTTACCTGTACGTGGGGTCGAAGGAGAGCTGCAGGAGCCAAGCCACCCTGAGAGCGAAGAGCGTAAGCGTCGAGTGAACGACGTCGCCCACGGTCGATGACACCATGTTTCCCATTTTATATGCCGTGTATGTCTGTCCGTGTGTGCGTGTGTTTTGATTCGTGCTAACGCCCCGATACAAGCTGCTGTGCTTCAGCTCGTCCGCGAATATATATATATATGGGTGGTGGTGGTGGACGGGCGCGACTCGCTCCCAAGAAGATGCTGTGTATACGATGTAATTATTTCGATTGGACGAAATAATTTCGATACCTCGTTTCCTCGAGAGCCTCGCGCGCGCGGCGTTATAATAGGCTCGATCGCGACACGAGCGCGTCGTGTATATATACTAAAAATGCACGCACTCAACACGTTGCCAATTCACACGCACTCACTGTGATGCACGACTCTCGACGACCGTGTGCCTCCCTTCGCGCGATAAAATACAATACTCGACTCCGTTTTTTTTTCTTTTTTTTTTCTTGTTTCGCACAATCACCGACGACACACTGCCTGTCCGAAAAAGGTTACAAAAAAGAGTTATTGTTACACAGGTCGGATGCAGCTCTTTTCGGCTTGGCAGTACTCTTTAGCGCGGCGAGTTTTTATTCAATAACGATGATAAAATGCACACTGCAGCACACGCAACTGCTATGACAACACGATAATGCTGCTGCTCTCTGCTCGGCTATACGCGCTATAGCGGACTGAAGCTACTCTAAAACAGCAGCAGCAGCGCAGCGCGGTGTCGTGTATACATAGTAGTATATATACATGGGCTGCTCCGAAGTTTTCGTACTGTACGATATATACATATATATCGGCGCGGCCTTAAACGCGAGTTTCTCTCCCCCTCCCAATCTCTATACGACACTATAGTATCCGTCCGCGCGCGTCTTGTCTTGCTTTTGCGTGTGTGCCGACATATACACACTGACACACGTACACTATATACATTTGTGTGTATGTATATTCGTATCGCGTATACTCTGCCGCGAAATGTGTGCGTGCATGTGTGACGACGACTGCGCCGGGAGTATATACATAGTATATGCATGGCATAGAGCGGCGGGGAGCACGCGGACCGATCTGTCTCTCGCATATATATATACCAACGCACAGCAGCGTGAGCACGGCGAGTGCACGTGTACTTGCTCGCTCGAATGGGCAGCAGCGCGGATCATTGTTATTATTATTATTATTATTATTATTATGTTCCAGTTCTATATAGGTATATACCGTGCAGCGATATGTGTATGTAGTGCAGGATCATGTACTCGCTCGTTCGCGTACGCACGCGTGCACTAAGGATATTCCCCCCAGTCAACGTCGACGACGCCATATGCATGTTATACTCGTATACATGTATATATGAGGCCGCGGCGCAACATAGAATATACATAAAAATATCGCGCGTTGCTGCCGCCTGTCCAGGACACGAGCACCGACGACGACGAGAGCTGCTTTGTATATTATGGATATATAGCGTCAGGCGCGATGTATAGTATTGTATTCGGGCCAACAAGAAATCTTCAACCCGCCTTGAAATACAATAAACGTTATACGTTGCGTCGATTTTCGGAGTTCGTTTACCTATTATCCTACTTGGCCTCGTGTCCTTGATAAAGGATTGTCGTCTCGTTGACGTTTGCTCGGAATTACATTTTTCTCCCACGTACTCGTGGAAAAGTATACATAATAATGTAATAATGGGCGGGCAGGCAGGTTTTCCGGAAAATCTGACTGCGCGCGGCTCGTCCATTCTATGTAATGTTTATACGATACGCGATGTTATGCTTTTTATCGTCGTGCGCTATTGTGCACAATAGCATCGATGATATATAATAATAAATATGTGCACGTGTGTCGTGCGAGCCGCTTCTTTTACATCATACTTTCTGTCACACCTTCATAATAGCTCTAACTTTATCGTCGTCGTCGTCGTCGTCGTCGTTGTTATTACATTTATGTACAATTTTTTTATCTCGCGACAAGTTTCGTACATGTGTGTAAGAGATATATTTATATTTTTTAGCAACGACGTTATAATAATGATAATTACAACGACGTGCAAGCTTGTATGATTCATTGATGAATCTTTCCCCAACTTGTGTTAACTATGGCATCATCGCCTCGATCTATTAAACCAAGCCAGCGCTAATACCGCTGCTGCTGCGGACAAACAATTACGTTACAGGATATATAGGATACACACATATAAGTATATAATAAAAAATATGCACAGCTTGCCGCTGCAGCTCGAGACTGTGGGAAAAATAAAATGTGAAAAACTACGTCCGTCCGTTCGCGAGCGAGAGTTTCCTCTCTCGCATATTTATATGCACGGCATGCAATGCATCGTCGATCGCCGAGCTCGAGCTAATAATCCTTGACCGGTAGCCGAGTAAATAGTATGCTGCGATCGTGTGTAAGCTCGAACCACAGCAGCGACATTGCAATTACACATCGTGCACCGGCTATTCCATTTACCATTTACCATATAGTTTATAGTGGTGGTATAAACTCTTATAAAGTATGCAGCGTACGTGTTACACGCTCGAGTGATTCTATAGCTCGCGAAAGTCTTCGTCTCCATGTGCATATAGTATAAGTTATCGGTCGAGAGTCGACCGCCTTCATTCATCATTCCGGACGCAATTTCGCGCGGCTCTCCCGTCTACACATAGAAACACAATAGTTGTGCGCTACTACCCATACTAGTGCTTCTTCTTATATAGGCGAGTGCGCGTGTAAGTACTCGATATTACATGCGATGGGGAGCAGCGCAGTAGCAGCAGCAGCTGCTGCAATCTTCGACTCCAATCATACAAGAGCCTCACCTATGTATACACAATCCGCATCCGTTGCGGCCAAGAAAAAAAAACTCATCTCATTCATTATTTGAAAATCGAGTCGATTTTCTTTTCCGATTGCAGTTTTACGTATGCAGGCGCGCGTCATCGCGTCCGGAGGGAGCTATTTTGCGCGCGAATCAACCTGCGATGCGCGGCGCATACGTGCAAAGGAGTTGAACTATATAAATTCGTAAACATCGGCTATTTTTGCTATATATAGTTGCGATGCATAATACACGTTAACCAGCTCCGCGGCCGATCGTATACACACCTAACCGATTCCGGAACTCTCCCCCGATACAAGGCATTCCTTGTCGACTCGTCGATTTTTGAAGCTCTGCCAATATTTGCTTTATGCGTTTGCGCGCGCGTTATTCGTTCCGACAAATCGTTCGGAGGCAGGCACGCGAATTTTTACATTATATATACCTATTATATATACCTCGACGATATGTTTATACAAAATTTATTAGTAAGGCGTAGTTGACGCGTGACTCGCGATGATGATCGTCGTCGTCGTCGGCGTATTATGTAGGAATTCCCGAGGAAAAGCGATAATCAGCTGCAGCATAAGTCGCTGAGTTTTACAGAAAACTCGCATTTTTACTGAAAAGCAAAAATTTTTATTTAACGCGCACGACGAGTGTCCATAAAAAATCGCAGCGTCGTTAAAAGTCCTCGCGCCGGCTTGCATGAATTTTGCATACACGTCCATTTAGAGTTGGTAAGAAAACACTAGCAGCACTGCAAAGCGCACACACGAGCGCGAGTGCAATAACGCGAACAGAGCCGATAATTGTTCGGCTTCGAAGAATCGCGTGCGTGGCTGCGCTCTTTGTGCGTGTACGACAATTTTTTTCTTCTTCTTCCTATATATAGGTTTATATTCGCTCAACGATTCACAATGCAATTAAACTCGCCCGATCGTCTCGAGCTCGGCGGCGGCGGCGACGGCGATGACTAATTTTCTTGTCCCGATCTCGCGCGACGACGCATTTGCCGTACCGATTTTGTGCGCTGCCCAGGCACACAGACGCATGCCTTGTTAATTATATTATATACGAGATTCGCCGGACGCAGAGAGCTCCGGAGGGGCTGTAATATTTATATACGTATCTGGACTCAACACAATGGGACTACGAGACTGTAAGCTGCACGCGCGGCTCGACGACAATGTTCAAACTACTGCTGTGCACCAATTGGAGGCACAATTGAGAGAAACGATCTCTCGCCGCGGCGATTTCGACTGGAGCAGCAGCAAACTCGATAGATATGTGCACGATCATGGGCCTGGCCTTATGAGTCAGCAGCAAAGCGAGGCGCGAGCGAGTATATATATATAATATAAAGATAACGCAAAAACTTATACTTGGCAAATTGCTGATCCGCGCGGAAGCTTATCAATTTCATTTCCCCGCGCGAGTTCGAATAATAATAATAATAAGTACACACTTAATGCTGCGCAGCACAACGACTCATTATTCGCAAGCCGATACATAATAAAAATTTTTCACGACGACTAAATTTAACGCAGTGACATCATGCGGCAGTGCAGAAGGCTCAAGACGCGGAGCAAATATATTTTCGCGCGCTCGCATGTTTCGTCGATAATAACCCGAGTGTCTCACGCGTAGATTAGTCGCGGATCGCTTTTCAAAACAGAGTTGCGCGGCGATTTATCGATACGCGTTGCTTGTAGTAGGATGCGAATGGAAAAAATTCAGAAGAAGGACTATGTAAAGATGGGTTTCGTTTTGCATTCGTTCAAGCGGCAGCTAAAAATACCTCGCTGACTACTCGTTCGGGGCACAAGTGGGCACATTAAACGGTCGAGCGAGTTCAGCAGGCGCATCGACCAGACTTCCTTTTGTCGTTTAAAAGATCGTCATCGTGCGTGCGAGCCTCGAAGATTCAAAGAGCGGGCACGAGTTCACTTGGCGCGACAAAGGAGACGAAGATTCGTTATAATTCATTATTATAGTTCGAACAATCGGTTTCGGCAAAAAAAAGGCGCGCGCGTACACGAGCACTTACCGATCCATCGCGTGGCGCGCCGCAATTATGTAAATCCAGCTACACTTTACGATCTATTATTCATTCGCGAATTCGATAATTGAAATCGTACCACGAGCGTTAACTCGCAGTCGAAAGATAATAATGCACGACGGACTGCATAATACAAAACGATCGCAAAGATCGTTGCGGAACATTGTGTGTCCTTACGTAAGACGGAGAGCGTGATAAATATTCAATTTGCGTAAACCACTATATACTACAGGCAGCGCGTTTCTATATAGTCGCGCGCGATGTGTCGCTTGGACAATGTCTCTTTTTTTTTTCTCTGCAGCGAGTTGCGCGCGTACATGTATAAGTATGCGACTATACAGGCTCGTGCTTCATATTCCATTTGCAAAAGAGACTCGGCTCTGTTTTAATATTTGTATCTCGTCTCTCGCTCACTCTCTGCGTTGAGTAATACAGCGTAGCGACGAAGAACCACGTAGAAACGTAATTTGCAACATTTCATATCGACTTTAAAATTACTACTGACCCGCGGACGGGCGAGGGCATTTTCGGTTATTATTATTTGCAGAAAATAAGCGAGAGCGGAAAAAGTGCTCTGCACTTAATGCGGTATCGAGAGCAGAGCGCGACCCACTGAGAATTCCAGATGTAACTGCAACGATAAAAACTCCGTGTTATTATTTTTATGCAGCTACTCATTTTCGCCCAACTTATATTATGAACGTGTATACGGAGAGGCGCAGGTTTGTAATAATATCGCATTCGCAAACACATAAACTCGGACGCTGCTACTGCTGCTGCTATCGTGTCGTGTCGTGTGCGCTGGCGAGACGATCGATAAGGATTGTGTGCCAAAGAGAGTAAAAGAGTTGATCTACATAGCCGCGGGAAAAATTATGCTCACCTGTTTCTCTCTCTCTCTCTAGTATATGCATAAAGTTGCCGAAGCTGTGACCTACTACCGGTCGCGCGATAATCGATTCGCCGCGCGAATTGCGCAAGGAAACGAGGTAAAACTCGAGCTTCCTATCGAGCTAATCATGCGATCGTGCTCTGGCGTCGTCGTCGTTGTCGAGCTTGTTTGCGCCCGGATATTTATGAGCAATGGAGCTTTTATTCCTCGTCGCTAAAGTCGTGATCTGTGTATCGGTATCGAAGGTAAGCTGCTTTATTGGCTCTTTTCGTGGCGCTGTAAGTCGGTAGGAGGAAACTCGACGATCTTTCTTGAAAATTAGTCGTTCTATGAATTAAAAATATAATTTGGAGACCAACTTGTAAAGCAGAGTGGACAAATTAGCTAAACTTACCGATTGATCGAAATTTTATATACAATTTTTAGACAAATCGCAATGTTAGCAATGATTCGTAGACGCAACGAGTTTTAGAATTATGAAATTATTTATTTATGATGATTGTCAAAGTAACAGTAGTTATTTCAATTTGAATGAAAATAAAACGTCAACAATTTTAATGTATCTAAGATTCATGCAAACGCTACTGCCTTGACGAATTTTGGATGTTTTTAAACACCAATGTTATAATCATGTAAATATGATTTAATCAATCTTATTGTAATAATAGTGAAGCAATTAATTGTATAAAAAGTAACTTCTTAGAGATCAAAATTAAATATTTAAATATTTTAACAAAATATAATAGCTATCATTACGCATTATGATAAATATATACTTTTTCGCGCTAACTCAAAAGCTTATTAGTGTGCAATTGCACTTTACATGGAAACACTGTTTCGGTGGTATTGCATACCTAAAACCTGCTGAAGAGACAGTTCTTCGTTAGACATTTCATGTTCGTGCAAGTTAACATTTTTATGACTATCAAACGATGCGGTTTGATTGAAATTTGGCAAAGATCTCGCTGTATGTGGGAACGTACTTGAGATGTTTGGTACACTCAGATTCGGAAGATTTTGACTTGAAAAACTATTGTCTGTAAATGAGACATTAGGTACCATTGTAGCACTCGAAAACAAACTTCCTGTGGTGGCTGCATTGTAACCGGTCATAGGTAAGGTTGGCACGGTGAGAATACTGCGGGTATTCAACAAGTTGAGCAATTCTCCATGAGGCGCGAATTTAGGCAAACTCAATATTTTTTCGAGTTCTGGAGTTCTTTCGCTGACAGGCACAAATACATCGTATAACTTGCGCAAATTCAACTGAAAAACAAAAGAAAAATTATGAAAAAGATTGTCTTTGTATTCTATTATCTAATGATCTGAATAATAATTACCTCGAGACCAAACATCTGCGCTTGTACTAATGCTTGTTTTTTAGCTAAATCTAATGAATTTTGTTTAAGGGCAAAGTACTCATCAGCTAAATTCATAAATGTATTAAAACACAGTGCCTTATCTGACATTTTATTCGATTCCCAATCAGGAGATAAAGATCTAGAAGAAGATTGATGGGATCCAAAATTATTTATATTTGATGAGTGGCAGCTTGAAGTAGGAATATCAGGTTGCATGTACATTTTTGATGTGCTAGCTGATTTCATCCCCTGATTTGTTTCAGTAAATGTCACCTCATTACTTTTTAATTGATGATATACATCAGTCTGCTGAGACCCTAAAAAAAAGCAAATTATTTTAAATTGTTATAACATTCTATTTAACAACATCAAATTAATTATATGTATGCAAACCTGCTATATTTTTGGTCATGGACTCATTTTCAACAAAATATTTATTTTCAGTTGGTAGTTCTCGAGTATGCGATGAATCAACTTTTAATGTACTTTTGATTTTATTAGCTTGATCGTTCTGACCATTTCTCTGTGCTGTAGTGTTGACATCATCTTTGAATTTGACTTGTTTAGTTTGATTTGCATGACTCATATTATCATTCATGTTTTGCCTAGGTGCTGAAGAATTTTTCTTCAAAGATGAAGAGACATTTTGATTTATTGAATTCACTTTGGATCCATGTAAATCTTCATGTTTTAATTGACTAGAGTTAGATTCTTTTTTGAAATGTTTGGATTCAATTTCGGAAACTTTCTTCATAGACTCAGTTTTACTTGCAGAGCTATTAGTATTCAATTTACTAGAGTTACTGTTACTTTGAAGCGTTTTATTTTGATTCACTTTTTCAGGTTGATTACCTCCTTGCTTTGAATTACCATCATTTCTTTGGGCATCGCTGCGACGACGTTTGAAATCTCCCTCTTTATCTGTATTAGATTTTTTATTCTTACTATTATTATCATTGCTATTATCTGTACTTGAACTTTTATTAGCAAAGCTTGAGCGATCTTGATTCTTAGAATTGCCACTATCATGATGTTGAAGAGATTGACTTGGATTGAAAAAAGGAATGTTATTTATGGGAGCTTTCAAATTCTTGTTTGAAGAATCATTCTTCTTTTGAGTCTCGGTTCTATCATAATTTTGATTTTTTGTGTTTGATTCCTGAATATTGTAGTCATGCTTATACTTGTCGCCTCGATTACCACCATAGTTATCTTGATTTTTATAATTGTTTCCAGTACTCCCATCATTTCTACCAAAGTTTCCTTGACTTTTGAAACTATTTCCGGTATTTCCATCAATTTTACTATAGTTATCCTGATTTTTGAAACTGCTTCCACTATTTACACTGTTTCCATCATTCCTTCCATAGTTTTCTTGATTTTTGAAACTATTTCCAGAGTTTCCAACAGTACGACTGTAGTTATCCTGATTTTTATAGCTGTTTCCTTCATTCCTACTATAGTTTTCTTGATTTTTATATACATTTCCAGTGTTTCCAGTATTCCCACCATTTCTACCATAGTTATCCTGATTCTTAAAACTGTTTCCACTGTTTCCATCATTTCTACCATAGTTATCTTCATTTTTATAATTATTTCCATCATTTCTACCATAATTTTCTTGAGTTTTGAAATTATTTCCAGTGTTTCCAGTATTTCCACCATTTCTACCATAGTTATCCTGATTCTTAAAACTGTTTCCATTGTTTCCATCATTCCTTCCATAGTTATCTTGATTCTTGAAACTGTTTCCATCATTTCTACTGTAGTTATCTTGAGCTCTGTAACTGTTTCCATTGTTTCCTCCATTTCTACTATAATTATCCTGATTTTTAAAATTATTTCCACTGCTTCCTTCATTTCTTCCATAGTTTTCTTGATTTTTAAAACTATTTCCATTATTTCCATCATTTCTACCATAATTATAATTATCTCTACGATCAGTACTATTATTATCTCGATTCTTATAATTAATCTCATCTCGTCTATCATTTTGATTCCTCGAACTTGGTCTAGATCTATAGTTATCTTGTAGTTGGTGAGGACATTTTTGTTGCTCTTGTTTTTTATCAATTGAACTATCTCGCTTAACATTATAATTTTGGGAAGATTTTTCTTGATCATGTAGTTTATTTGAAGAATTTATTATTTGATTTGGTTGTTTTTCTTTACTTTGAATAGCTGTATTTGTGTTATCTTCCGCGCCTGCTCTTCCACGAATCGGTTTAGGAAGGTCTTGGTTCTGAGTCTGTTGTGTCATTATACTTTCAGTAGTTTCAGCAATTTTTAAATTCTGAGCCTGAACTAAATCCATCTCTTCTCTGCAAGAAGAAATTAATTATATTATTAACATAACAATTCATTTGTATCTTTATAAGAAGACTCACAGTTTTGATGGTTTTGTCTCAGTTTTCTCTGGTAGAGGATTGAAGGAATCCATTTTATTATCATCATTTGGTATATTATTCTTCTCAACTTCAGTTAAATGAATTTCTGCATTCAAAGTTTTATCAGAACCAATTTCATCTTTTGATACTTCACATTTATTAGAATGACTCTGTTCTATGCATTTTTCTAGAGAAGTTGCATTTTTCTCTTCACTGCACAGAAAATAATCAATTATAGTAATGAAACAACATAATTTTAATAAATTCTATAAATTAACTTACTGTTTTAGTGAATTGGTCTCAGTTTTCTCCTGTTCTGGATTAAAGAAACCAATTGTGTTATCATTATTTGATATACTGTTATTCTCAAATACATTTAATTTCATTTCTTCATTTAAACTCTTATTTAAACTTTGATCAAAACCTATTAAATCTTTTGATACTTCATTTTCTTGCGATAAATTGGTTTTGAACTCCATTTCTGAATGTTGATCAGGATCTTGTGCTGACTTATCCAACTTTGTCACACTGGATTTAAGATTATTAATTGGCACAAGTGTGCCTTCAGTTGTTCTGGAATGAAAATAAAAATTAAAGTCATATTTTCATGATTGGTAAATGAATATTAGATTTCTTACCCATTTTGTGATTTGAGCCAACACATGCCTGAGATTTTGGAAAATGTATTTTCTCTATCAGTGCTTCGCTTTTTATAATCCCTTGCAACATCATTACGTTCACTTTCTAATTTCAATTTTTCAAAAGTTTCATTTGAATTTTCATTTTCTTGTTTTTCAATTGAAGATAACTCCTTTTGCTCTTCAAAATTATTCTTATTTTCATCATTTTTTTCTTCAGACACACCAGTAACTTCAGGATTTTCCAGTGGAATATTTGGATTGGCAACAGTTCCTTTCAATGGTTCATTATCAGTACTAGTAATTGTATCAGTTGTAACAGAAGATGGTTCATCTTTGGTAGAATTATTTTGAAATGAATTATCTCTTGATTCTCCTATGCATGTCTGCATATAAAGAGCGTCATCATGACTTTTGAGACCAAAAAGTATTTCTTCTATCGGCGGGATATCAGAAGCTTTATTCTCACTTGATATGTTTTCTTGCTCAACATACTTTTCTACTTTGTCATTATTCAAAGTTAATGAGGCATCATCTACTGACTTGATTTCAGAAACTTTATGTATACTCTGTACGTTTTCTAGTTCAACAGCTTTTTCTAGCATTGTTTCATTTGTACATGGTAAGGTATTATCTACTGGCTCAACTTCTAAAGTTTTATCCATACTAGAAATGTTTTCTTGAGTATCAGATTCAGCTGCTACCTTTGTATCATTCAAATTTTTTACAGTATCGTCAGCAACAGACAATTCTGATGTTTCTTTTTCATCAACGTTGATTACCAATACAGAATCATTACTTATTTTCTTGATCGAAAATAAATCATTCTTTTCAATGCCATTTGAATTTTTGTGTGTATCATTGGTAAATAATTCATTTATAATACCAGTATCTTCTGGTACTTTGCTTTCTATAACAGCCTCATCCTGAACCACATTACTGACGTTACATATGAGACTTTTTACAGCTTCGGGAGAGGCATCGTGAACCACAATTTTATCAAAATTCGTCTCCTCGCCAACGCTCGATCCCTGCGGATTCTCCATGTTTAACTCGACGGATTCAACTACTGCAACAAAGGCGATCGAACATCATCAAATTAATACGTTTATATATGAAATCTCTTGGGAAAAATATTCCACCGTCGCTTAAAATGCGTCGCAATATAATAATAAATGAAGGCTTGACCTATCGAATCTCACTGTGCCCGGTATTACGAAAATCAAAACACAACGCAGAGCACACAGCACGCAGAACAGGACAAAAGGCGATAAGAGAGCATGCCGCCTAAACAAACGAACTGTATTACGGGCTTATTATTCGAAGGTACGACGTAATTTCTTTAAAATATCGCGAGGGCAGAAAGCAATAAACGAATCACCGAACAATTACGTTAATCAGTTCATTTAATTAACGTTTGTCTTACCTTGTATAGTTGAAGCGACGAAAATCGGATCCGAATTTTCGATCACACGCTATGGCCGCTGCGCGAGCAAACGACTTTTTAAAAGTTTTTTTCAGTTATATGGATAACGACGTAGGTACGTCTTTCAAACGCGCACAAAGTGGACCAAACGTTTTTTCTGATACGAATAAAGACGAACGTCTCTCTCAAAAAACACGCACAAGTGGATCGAGTTCAATAACACAGCACAGGGTTGTCGTGTTGTGGCACGAGCGGATATCGTCGCGTTAATGCCGGACCGTAGTTGCTCTACGAGGGTCGAGACTTGTTGAGAGAGGCGCGATCAGCGCGCAGCGTTCGATACACAATTCGATAATATGTTGAAGGTTTATGCATGCATAGGCAGAATCAAGCTTAGTAATACTCGCCGGCCGGCGCGCACACAGATTCCTCGAATTTTCTCTCCGCCTCGGAGGACGACGTAGCTCATTGGCCTGTATAGCTGCGATCTCTCCCCCGTGCGAAATTTTCGCGCTCCTCGCGCTACTATCGGTTAGGCAACGCGTCATTGACTTTGACACGCACATACACATCGTTGTAACTCGATTTCAATGTCGTCGTCGCGCGGCAATTCGCGTTCAATCTCGCTCGAGTTCATCAAATCGCCTTTCGTCGAATTATATGTACATTTCCCCGTCGCGAATCGACTGGAATAATATTGTCAGGTGAATTCTAAAAATTGGTTTTGGGAGCAGATGAGTTTGATGCGCATCGCGACAAAAAATTTGACACTTGGAATATTTACAATATTTTGATGCTTATACGTCAATTTTTCGTTACAAAACTTGTAAAAATCATACATAAAAAGACAGTTAAAAGCCAACGAAAATCATCTTGAATTTCGGTGTGACCTCTGACGTGTTTATAAAAATTGTACATTGAACCCGACAAATAAGATCCTTCAAAATGTTTCGACGTCGCGTCTTAAAGTTTGTATTCGTAGATGCCCAAGTTTCACGCGGCTTTTTGTGCGTGAGGCTCGACTTTACATAATACAATAATCATTCTCCCTGTCACGAAGCCTGTCATCGCTGCATTATTTACTTCCTCTTCCAATACTTCAATCCAAAAAAAACTTCTCGACGATACGCTTGTAATTTACCGATAAGCTTCGGACATAAAGTCACATTTAAATTGCGCTATTTTATTATCACGTTTAAATGGACGTTTGCGCGAAGAAGCAATTACGTAAGTCATCAAATTATCGTTGAAACAAGTGGTTATTTTATTCTTTTGGTTGGAGTTATTATATTACTAATTACAGCGATGAACGATGCAAAATTTTGCATCGGTGCATCGGTTGTTACATTGAAAAGAGATTCAAGGTACTTTTGAAGCAATTATGATACTGATGTTCTTACTGAGTTATGAGTAATCAGTAATTGCACCAAAATTTTTTCATTTCCTAAAACGTTTTTGAATAATTTGAATCAGATACTGTTATTAAAAACAGAGTAAGCCTTATTAAAAAATTTAAAAATTAATAATAAATAAACATCCGTGACCGACGATATATGTCTCGACCCTTCTTAAGTCTGAATTCCAATTTGCAATTAGGCATTACATTAAAAATAAAAATCGATGACAGTGTGAATGTATGTGTTTTTAACTACTAGGAAACTGTTAATTGTCCATGCATAGAAACTTACATTAACATCATAGAAATACTCTTCAAATTTTAGAATAAAACTCACCATTGATAGTAAATGTAAAATCCCAAATTGCTATCTTGTTTATTTACAATTATCAAATTTATAATAACATAGAAAAATTGCTAATTTTATATTAAAAGGAGTGACATTTTTGACTTGAGACAAAATTTACTGTAAAATGTATAAATGTATCAAAACTTATCAGAAGTATGATAAAAATGATCGTGAAACAAAATAAAAATTACGATAATATTTCATCGGAGTAGTATAATACGCTTGGATATTATATGGGTAAAAACGCCAATGTTGACCTAGCGCCACGCGCGGGCAGCGAAAACGGCCGGATTGCTCGGTATTCAAGTTGCTTGCAAAGGGTTAAATAAAATTCAAAAAAATAAACCAACATGGATTTTCAATAGGTTTTTACCTTGGCTTTGTGGTGAGGTCGAAAATACCAAAATATGTCTCCATAACCTCACAAAATGGACTGAAGCTAAAATACGTTGTAACTTCCAGAGTTAAACTCCGATCGACTCTCTGACTAGCTAGATCGAAAGATCTCAAGATTTTACATCAGCAATGACTCTAACAAAAGGGACTTTTCCGATTTTCTCGAGTGGTTAAAAGGGAAAAAGAGTGCGGTCGGCCGTTTCCGAGCGCCGCGGCCTGTTTTTTCGCTATATTTTACATTTCTTTACCTTTCACGCGTTAGGCTTTCGCCATAAAAATAAACAAATACGTGCTTATTGTGTATTTTTTTTCTCATCTTTCCAATACTGCAATTAGTTTTTGGAAAATTGGCTTTTTTGAACAGATAAATTAACTTTTTTGATTAATAGTTTTATTATTTTCGTTGTATTCGCGAAACGGAGCCACTTTTCCAAAAACTAATTGCATCATTAGAAAGATGAGAAAAAATACACAAAAAGCATGTATTTGTTTATTTTTATGGCGAAATTCCCTTATTTATATTACTGATTCTTAAGTAAAATTGCGAGATCTTTCGATCTAGACCCTCAAAAAACTCTAAACCCGGGGGCAAAAAAAATACAGCGCGTTTTAAGTTCAAATCCATTTTTTGATGGAGGCATGTTTTTGCATTTTCGACCTCGCCAGTAGCAAGCCGAGGTAAAAACCTATCGAAAACGTAAGTTGGTTTATTTTTCTGAATTTTATGTAACCCTTTGCGAGCGAGTTGAAAACTGAGCAATCCGGCCGTTTTCGCTTCCCGCGCGCGGCGCTAGGGCATTATTGGCGTTTTTACCCATATCTGAGTGGTCGTCAATGATTCTACTCCATCGTGTTGCACTGTCGACTCTGACGTCATTATAGCTCCGCCTCCTGCGCCTCAGCTTCCCAATAAGTTGCAGTCCAACGTATAACGCTTCCATTACGAGTCGAACCATGACACATGCGTAAAGTTTTCTCTCTCTGTCATTCAAGCGTTGGTGCGGTACGGTTTCGCATCACCACCACGTGCTTTGACGGTGCTCGGTATTTATTTTACAGTGTGCAGTGTTAGACTCGAAGTTTTTCATCAAAAAAGTGGAATCTCTACCCATTCAAGTCAAAATGTCGTTGAGTCATAACTATAGATCTCGCCTACGAAAATTAGTAATCAATTTGAAAAGTTTGAAAACAACCTCCGCTCGACTCAAGAAATTCTTTGCAGAGTGTCCCGAAGATGAAGATGAATGGTTCCCGCCGCGTCGCGAAATCCCGGACAGAGTTTGGATAAAGTTGTTGAGCTGTAAGCGCCTGTTTCCGAGAGTCAGTGATAAAAAAAAGTACTTCAACATTGCTGTGACGCATCGAAAATTGAAGTGGATAAAACTTCTCGAGGCGAGCGGGTTCAAAATACACGAGGTCGCGCTTCCAAATGGAAGATCCGCACTTCATCATTTGGCCGAGAGCCCAGCCGGGTTAAAGTACAATTATTCCCCAAAAACGAGAACCCTCGAGCTCGTGGATTATTTCCTGGAGAATCCCCGCAAGAACCAGTGCGACGAACAGGGATACACGTACTTGCACGCGGCCTGCGTGGCGGGCAACTCGACGGCGGTGAGGAAATTGCTGCGTCTAGGCGCGGACGTCAATTGCGACTCGTACAAGTATTCGGCGTTGCAGGCAGCGGCCTGGTACAAGCACGAGGACGTCGTCGAGATTTTATTGGAGAGCGGGGCCAATCCTAACCAGCCGGACGTTGAACAGTCGACGCCTCTGCACTCGCTCTCGTGGCTGTGTCTGTGCAACTGCAAGTCCAGCCGAAGATACTGCGACAAGAGAAAGCCCGTCGAGAGGATAGTTCGAATGCTCGTCGAGCACGGGGCGGACATCGAGGCGAGAAATCGTCACGGGGACACGGCTCTTCAAGCGTCGGTCTCCCGCTTCGACGTGGATCTGACGCGGGCTTTGCTGAAGCACGGGGCGAGTCTGAGCAGTTTGAACGAGGACAGAATGTTCGGCTGGAAGTTCAAGACAATGGAAGTGAAAGCCTATCCTCTGGCTTTGAACGTGATCGAGATGCTGCAGCTATTGCAGTCGGCCGGCTACGAGGTAGACTTGTTGACTAGGCTCAGGATGATCAAATGTTGGATGAGAGTGAGAGATACCGGCGAGACGTGGGAAGATTTCAGTGAGTAATTTAATTTTAATTTGTAGATAATGTTAATTTTTCCCGTGTTTAATTTTACCCTGAAATAAGCAACTTTGTCGCTTATTTTTAAGCTGTTGTGAGAAAAATATACCTGTGGTAGAATGGCAAAACGACATGTACATTACAAAATACACAACCTTTGGTATGGACTTTATTACTCATGTCTTTCGGCAATTAACGCGTAAGTCCACTTGTTTCGGACAATTTTTTTTCAATACTTATCTGAATATGTATAAAGTCAAAACTTTAAATCGTGAAAATGGGTGACAGTATATCAAACGTATCAACCTTGTAATAAAATTCATAACATCCAAAGAATTCGGAAGTCGTGCATATGTTTGAAGATCATTCTCTTCCATTTCCGAATAAAAATATGCTATCAATCACTTTGTGGAGCTCTCAAAACGTTGACTTATGCCGTTGTGCTTTCCACATTTCTCGAAAAGGAAAGTTATGCTATTATGTGCTCACTGCTGGATCTAGGTATCAACATTGCATGCACCCATTCTGACACATACTTTTCAAATTGTGCACTAAATTTGGATGATTACCGTTACTAACTCGATTCTCGACGATTATGGTGTTATGTTATTTTGTGTTTTTACTACGGATACTATTTCATAACTAATTTATAGGGCGTTTTCAGATTGTCACGAAGTGGTCACTTTACCGGCCAGCTGATTTGACTGGAGGAATAACAAACGCACGCCCCTATACTTCCCGTGTTAAATTAGCTTGTTAAAAGTACTTGTAATTAGTTTAACGTTCGGTAAAAAAATGAACAAAACATATCTGCAGAAAGCGGAAATCCTTGTGTATCGAAATATCGAAGCGGTTTTTAATTAAAGTCTTTAGTTTGTAAATGAAAAAATATTGAAAATTTCAGTTTTTTTGTCTGAGATATTGTCAATAATCTGTATTAAAATGGTTATTAAATTTGCTTTTTCGGGTTGCAATACAAACTCTCAAGCAGGGAAATTTGATTCTTTGAAGTTACCGACGAAAAACTAAGAAACAATCGTATTTAAGAATATTATCTTTCCACCAGCAGCAGAC